GTAGCACTGACTGAATCATGATTCTAACCTGTACCGGTACTTGTACATCTACATCACTTATGATATAATCCAAAACTGGTAAACCAGTTTTCATCTACATCACTTGTACTAGTACAATGCTGTCTTGGCCGTTTTATGCTGATGTACTCCGTATGCTGTAGACCAGGTGTGCAGTGGTGGTCGATTCACATGGCTTCGCCAGTTGTACGTGTGGATTAGACAGTTATCTGGCACAAGTCTTACTTCTAAGTAACATAGTTACTACGGAGGATTAGCAAGACGAAATTCGCGTTCGCGTTCGCTCTCCAAGGAAAGTCGAACTCAGTGACGGAATTCGCGTTATGAGAAGGATTAGCAAACAGAATTCGCACATGCATGACGTTGACACGACGTACATTGTGTACAGAGAGTACAGCGTGGTAAATTTATGACTGCCCGACTACTTTTCCGAACGAAAAATTCAAAAGTTCGCAATCCAGTTCGCTAACTGAAAAATGTTTGCGAACGCGAACGCGAATTTCGTCTTGCTAATCCTCCGTACTGTCTCATTCACTGATTCAGATCTTGTTCGCTATCGTTGCTATAGTATAACGTAATTAAGAGAAAATCTGTGGGTGCACATCCAGTGCATTTGCAGATTTGCGTGCTTCTCTTGCGACGGGCGTATACATGGTACTACACGGTACTACAATGTACATGTACATCTGTGCAAGTAATAGTTTTAAAAACACTAGTAATAATAGTTTTCACTGTTCAAGGATATGACTCGATCAGCCTGGAACTGAGAGTGCAGTGGGAAGCCTGCAGCTAACGATTGTCTTGATAGGTGCATTATGGGTAAACATGCCAGCACCTACTGGTAATCCTTTGATACCGTGATGATCACATGCGTACCTACCAAAATGCACTCAGCCAACCACAGAGATTTTCCTTTGTGCCTTGTGGATACTTTGCATCAAGAGAAGAGGTTTAGTTATTTCAAATATTTGGATTCTTCTCACAGTGTCACATGCACAGTGTGCTAACACAAGCGATGAAAGTCGCGCTGGAACTACTTCGAAGTAAGTAGATCTACTCAGCTTGTGTCGGCACGTGAAACATGTACGACTCGTACAGTGCTGGCAACTGAAATCCGACCCCCTGAGCGGTGCGCTCAAATCGCAAAGAATGTGAACTCACCGCTCAGGTGGTCGGATTTCAGTTGCCAGCACTGTAGATCTACACAATGTGCGCCCGTGCGCCGTTCAAGGTCACGACACTGTAGCTAGTCCGCCTATACTATAGTATAGGCCTAGGCTTCTACTTTGAAGTAACTAACTAATTACTTTTCTATTTCAGCAGAAACATGGGCAATTAATTTATACATGTAGGTCATTACTCGCACCGCAGCGGCGCTAGAAATATTGTTGGAAGCATGCAAAATCATCATGAGTACGAGGTAAATATAGGAAATAAAAGCCGATTAAAAGACCGAGGCGAAGCCGAGGTTTTATACGAGGCTTTTATTTCCTATACTGACCAAGTACGAAGTCAAT